AGAGAGAGAGAGAGAGAATTTTTTAATATTTATTTCTTAGTTTTCGGCGGACACAACATCTTTGTTTGTATGTGGTGCTGAGGATCGAACCCGGGCCGCACGCATGCCAGGAGAGCATGCTACAGCTTGAGCCACATCCCCAGCCCCAAAAGGAATGTTTTAAAAATCAGGCATATAGACGTGTCTACTAAATGGAGAGAGAAAAAAATAGCTAATAAAATAAATATTGATTTGTGTGTGCAGAAGAGGGGTGTGTGTGTGGGGTGTGTGTGTGTGTGGGTGTGTGTGTTCCTTAGCTCTTTTATTGACAAGGACTAGAAACAAAGATGTCCCAACAGCAACAAGCACATCCAGCTCTCAGACCATGGTTTCTAAGTACCATTCAACCAGCCCAGGAAGCCCAGATCTTAGGAGAAGTGGCTGGTTTCAGAGGGGACCTTCAAGATGAACCTCCAGCATCTTATGTTGCTAGAATATAAAGAAGGGTTCAAAGTGCCCTGGGGGCAAGTCGAAGGTCCGAGGAGTTAACCTGAACTCCCAATAGCCCAAGCTGGAACAATCTGAGCAACCAAAAGGTATTGAATTGCAAACCAGAGGATGAGATGAACATCCCTGAGGCCCTCCTGATACCAAAGTTGGTTGAAGGCACCAGTATATGGTTGGGGAGGGATAGAAGAAATTCTCATTAATGAATGTAAAAGGGGTGCAGGAAACAGAAAGTCCCTCTTATGCAAACAGGGCAGTAATAACTTATAGAGGCAAGAGGTACCAATGTGGTTGCTAAAGTCAGAGGAGGAAAGCTTGAGGAGAGACAGGGTATCTGCAAAACCTCAAGGATCTCCCCAGTATGCTAATTAATCACAAAGGGGAAAAAATAGTGACTGAGAAACTTGGCAGGTGCCACCTTACCATGCCATCGTGGTCAAAATGAGAGTCACTGGACATCAGCAATACAGTTGCCCTCGAATGGGGAACAGAGGACACCACATCGCCCTCTGTGCTCTACTTGCCAAAAATACACGATTCAAGGTAACCATGAGAGGACATCCGACAAGCCCGAAGGGAAGGCCTTCCACAGGCTAACTGACCAGTAACCTCCAAGGTCACAAAGGCCAAGAAGAGGCATTTGCAAACACTGGAGAGGCCCCCAGGACTGGGAAGGACGGCGATGGAACTCCACCAGTGCCGATTCTCGTTTCGATCCTTGCTCTAGGGCTCTCTCAGATGTCAATCATATTAGTGGACAATGGACAAGGAGTCTGAGAACTCTCAAGACTACTTCTGCCCCTTTTCTGTAGGTCTAACATTATTTTGAAATAAAAACCTACGATCAGGCTCCCTGTGGAGTACATAAAAATAAAGTATAGAGCACGAAAGAACATTACCTATAATCCTCCACTCTGAGGCACCCCGAATTTGCATTCTTCTAACGCAGCTAAAGTCTTTATACATATCATTTTTTTAACGTCCCAGGATTTTTTTTATTACACATTTTATTTTGAGAAACTTTGTGATTTACATAAAGTGCTAAAGAAGATCCCATGTACCCTTTTCCTACTTTTCCCCAATAGTAACTTCTCGTAAAACTATAGGAGGATGTCACGACCAAGATGCTGCCATTGCTGTGGCCAAGATACAGAGCATCTCCATCCCCACCAAGAGCCCTCAGTGACCCTCGGACAGCCAGGACCAACACTCTCCCTCTTCCACTTCTCCGTTAACCCTTGGCAATCACAGGTCTCTTCTATATTTCTACACTTTTGTCATTTCAAGAATGTCATGTAAGTGGAATTGTTCATCATATAACCTTTTGGAAATGGCTTGTTATTTTTTTCATCCAGTGCAAGATGGAGAAAACCCTCCTGTGATTTTGTAGATTAACTTGCTTTAGAGCTACAACACTAAATATTTTCCAAAGTTTATTGTGGCCACAAAAATATTTCATCGTATTGATCAACAAGATTGTTCTATCATTTCCTCCATGCTGGGCACTTGGGGTGCTAGGGTCTGGATGTGGTTCATTCTCCTAAGGTTCCTGTGTTGGAAGCTTGGTTCCCAGGATGGTGGTATTAAGAGGTGGTACCTAGTGCAAG